CCAAGCCCCGAGGAGTCGCCCTCCCCCTCCCCCCTGTCCTGCTCCTTCCCCGAGTTCTCGGTGGTCAACTGCACCCTCACCGGCTCCCTGTACTTCCTGGAGGACGGCCAGCTGCGCGCCTTCCCCGACGAGCAGACCTACCTCGAATACCTGGCCGCCGCACAGACCATCCCCTTCACCCCCGAATACTACGAAGACCTGTGCTCGGTGGGCCCAGACACGGTGGCGGGGTGCCCGCTGGGCGACGACATGCCGCCGCTGCCAGACGACTGGGCGGCGCAGCTGGGCGCGCTGCTGACAGGTGCGGTGGCGGGGAGTGGTGGTGGAGGGGAGTGGCGGCTGGCTGGCCGGCCGGCTGGGGGCAGAGACCCCCCCGGCGCTGACTGGCAGCATGGCGGCTCTGCTGCTGCAGGCACCTGACCAAGTGAGACCGCTCCACAGACAGATGGGACCAACCGGCGCAAGCTGCTCGGCAGCCACAACTGAGGGCGGGGTTTGGGCGCGAGCGGGGGCTCCCAGGGACCGCACCCACACAGAAACACGTGCAGCGCGCCCGAGTGGCAGGGGCGTCAGGGACCAAACTCCAACCAAGACAACACCCACGATCACTCCCGATTGCTCCCCCCCACCATTTCTGTGCACATCAACTGCATGCCATTTTGTTTTTTCCAGGTGTCTTGCCTTTCATCCATCTGTCAGCCTGCTTTGTTCCCATCGCATGGTACAGCCGTCGCTTGTGCATACAGCGCAGCACTGAAAACATGTGCCGCCCTGTGTAACTTGCTGTGATACCGCCACTCAGCTGCACCGCCCTTCAGAACATTTGCCAGCATCCATCTGCGTGCAGCTGTGTCCTCATGACAGCCGAAGCGTGCAGCTGTCGGCGCTCAGGCCTGGCCCACGCCCGTCACTGCCCCGCGCGGGCCGGCGCGCGGCGGCCGTTGAAGAACTCTGCCTGTGCCAGCAGGCCGCTGGCCAGCAGGCGGCGCTCCACCTCTGGGGTGCACCCCGGGTTGCCAGACACATCCAGCGCCTCCAGCCTCACCCCCGCCAGCACCCCTGCAGCACACGGCGGCGGCCGGGGCCCCGGGAGGGAGGGAGGCGCTGGTCAGCACCGCCCCACGCCACCTGGGGGGGCTGACTCCAACTGCTGCGCGGCCTGCTGCCCCCCGCCGGCTGTGCCCTGGAGCGCTGCCGGGCGGCTGCCCAGCACCTGGCGCGCCGCCCAGCTGCAGGCTCCCGTGGCAGCCCATCCCAGCCCGGCAGGCTCCTCACCCGGCAGGCGCAGCAGCTCTGCCTCTGGCAGCCGATTGTGGTCCAGGTAGAGCCAGCGCACGGCAGGCAGGCGGCCCAGCCCCTCCACGCTGCGCAGCCCGCTGTGGCTGGCATACAGCTTGGTGATGCCCGCCAGCAGCTCGGGGGCGCCGCCTGCGGGTCACCAGGCGGGTGGGCGGGCGGCAGGCGGCGCGGCGCAGCGGCAGGGCTGGGCTGCAGGGCGGCAGGGGGGTCCCAAGGAGGAGCTGGGCCGGGGCGGAGCAGGCAGGAGATGGGGGCGCGCGCGTGCGGGCAGGCTTGCGGGCACGGCTTGCTCACCAAAGTCGGCCAGGCTGCAGCGCTGGATGCCGCCGAGGTCCAGGTAGTGCAGCGGGCCCTGCACGTAACTCAGGATGCCCCCAGGCAGCGAGGCCGCCTGCGTGTGGCGGGGCAGGGCCGACGTGGGAGTGTGGCGACAGGCGGAAGGCGGAGGGCGGCGGCAGGCCTGGTAACAGCGCACACCCTCTCCATCCCTCTCGGGCTCACCGATTCCTCGAGAATGAGCACGCCAGCGTTGGGCTCAGGCACCTGGCAAGCCAGCCGCTGAGACCCTGTCTCTCGGCCGTGCAGGGCGCGTGGCCACCCAGCTGCCATTACCCAGGCTGCATCGCAACCTGTGCTGCCCCTGGGGCGCCCTTCTGCAGTCCCAAGGACTCTCCTGAGGAGGCCTGATCAGATCGGGGTTTTGGCGGGAGTCGCCTTGCACAGGCCCTGCTCGCTGGAACTGAGGCTGGACGCTTGGAACCGGTCAAGAATGAGGCCTATGCATTGCGCCCCATAAACGTCAAGCTGGCAGCGCCGGTACGGACTAGGGCGGCGGCGCTCCATCTTTCGCCACGCACCCCTGCCCAGGCCTTTTGTTCCCCCTGCCACGCCAGGGCTGACCACTCCACAGCTCTTCAACCCTAAATAATCGGTGCTCGCCTCCCCAGGCGTTCAAACCCCCGCCCCAGGGCTTCCTCAACGTATTCCCCTTGCTGACCTCAGCAGAAGCAACACTTGCCGCAGTGCGGTACATATGCCTCTCCCCCGTCCCGCCGCCTCCGAGGGTGAGCAGGCGTGGGCCCCCGTCCCCAAGCGCCGGACCCACGAGCAGTCTCGCCAACTCGCTCCCTGCCCAGTTCCGGGAGGCGGCCCAGGGGTGCTGCATTTTGCCGTCCTATTCATGTTGTGTGTCACATGCAGGCAGCACAGTTGTACACCCAGATGCGTTCCCTACATGCATTCCCTACATATACATTTCCCTGCATGCATGCACAGCCCATCACTCCGCCATGGGCACCGGCTCCTGGGTTGCACCGCCGCCCGCCTCCCCCTGCTCCCCGGGCTGCTCCTGCCGCCGCCGCCGCTGCTGCTGCGAGGCCGCCGCATGCTGCGCCAGGCCCGCCGGCTGCGGCAGGTGCTCCTGCAGGTCAAACTCGGGGCCGTGGCCGCCCGCCAGCTCATGCAGCTCGCGCTGCGGCGGGTGCAGGGGTGGGTGCGGGATCAGCTGTGGCGGGCGGGGTGCGAGGCTGGTCAGGCGGTGGTGGATGGCAGATGCGGCAGGCAGCACAAAGCTGGGAAGCACAGCAAACAGCAAGCCCACCTGCACCGCCGTCAGCTGCTGCAGCACCGCCTCCAGCGCCGCCTGCACGCAGCGCCAGCAGCAGCAGCGCAAACGCCATCACACACAGCCAGCCGCCCCCGAGCCGGGGCTGGCGCGTGAGGCAGCAGGCATGCAGCGGGCGCCGCCAACCCCTACACCCCGCCGCTCGGCGGCTCCTGCGCCACACCTGCGGCTCGGGCGCCCCCGGCGCCGCCTGCCACCTCAGCACGGCGGCGTTGACGATGTCGGCGGCCGCCTCGCGGCGCGCGGGCGACAGCAGCTCCGCCAGCGGGGACTGTGGGGGGCGGGGGCGGTGGGGTGCGCGATACGGTGGTGTAGGTTTTTGTGTGTGTTGTTTTGCAGAAAACCGCGAGCGCGCAAAGCACGCGCAGCGGGGCAGGCGCGCACCACAGCAGCCAGCCGCCCGGCGGGCCCAGCAGCCAGCAGCCCGCGCGCGCCGCAGGGAGCCCCCGCCCACCTGCTCGGGCTGCTGGTAGGCGATGAGGGCCACCACGTCCCTCAGCACCGCATCGTGCTCGGCAGACGCGCCGCGCAGACCAGACAGCGTCCCCTCGGCGTACGCCAGCGCTGCCGGAATGTCGCCCCGCCTGCGCCCGACGCGGCGCCGGCAGCGGGAGCACACACCCAGCGGCAGCGGGTGAGGTGAGGCGCGGCCGCGGCGGGCCGGCGGCGTGCAAAGCAGCGCAGGCGCAGGCAGGGCGGCGGGGCAGCAGGAAGGCACGCGCGCGGTGCAGGCGGCGGCGGCCCGCTTGCTTGCCTGATGAGCTCGATGTACTGCTGGCAGGCCAGGTGGAACTGCAGCTCGAAGCTGCCGCCGGTACCGCCGGTACCGCCGGGCGCCGCCGCCAGCAGCCCCGGCGCCTGCTGCTGCAGCAGCTGCTGCGCGGCGGCGGTGTCTCCAGCCATCAGCAGCTGGCGCAGCTGGCAGCGCAGGGACAGCAGCTGCGCGGCGCCGCCGCCGCCGTCGCCCCCGTTGACCGCCAGGCCCGTCGCTCCGCCGCCGTCAGGCCCGCCGCCCTCGGCCTCTCCAGCCCTGCTGGGGCAGGCACACATGGGCATGCAGCCAGGCAGTGCCGCACGTCAGCTCAGCAGGGGCGAGCGGCCAAGCAGGCAGGCGGAAGGGACAGGCGCTGCCACAGGTTGCGGTGCAGCATGCGTGGCGGCCCGCAGGCAGGCAAGGCTCCAGCTCGCCCCAGCCCCAGTACAGCCCCCACAGCCTGCCAGCTGCCGCTGCTGTGGGCCCCTCACCCGCTCTGCTGCTGCTGGTGCTGAGGCGCCGGTGGCGCCGCCGTGCCGACCGTCCCTGCCTGCGCCGCTGCCTCTGCCTCTGCCGCCTGCGCCCCCACCATGCCCGCCGCCACATCAAAGGCGGCGAGCGACTTCGCATAGCCGTAGTGCAGCAGGTAGCCCCGCACCATCTGGTGCACCTCGCCCGCAGACACGCAGGTGCTGCGGGGGCTCGGGGTGGGGGCAGGGGAGGGCACAGGGGAGGGTTGGCGGGCCGGTATGGCGCCGTGTGTGGCGGCACAGAGGCTGGGAGCGGCGAGGGCATCGGGAGCTGGCGCAGGCGGGTGGCGCCCAGGCACCGCGCTCCAGGCAGGGGCCCCAACCACGGGCGCGCAGGCTTGCTCCATCCAAGGATGCCTCTACCCAAGGATGCCTCCACCCAAGCAGGAAGCCCCCACCTGTCCAGCGCATCCGCCAGCTGGCGCTGCTCCGCCGCTACCAGTGCCCGCGCGTCAAACTGGAAGGGCTGCCGCCCAAAGTTGAACTCCACGCTGGCGCCCTGGCTGCGCAGGCAGGCGGGCAGGCAGGCAGGGGGGCAGGCAGGGGCCGCGCAGGTGGGGGACGAGCGGCAGGCGCGGCGGCATCCTGGGCTGGGCGCAGGGCACGCGTCGGCGGCCGACGTGGGTGCCTCGTTCGACGCCGGGCTGCTGCCAGGCCCTTAAGGCGGCTGCTGCCAGCCGCTGTGCCTGCTCTGCTCTCCACCCTCCCAGCCACCCACCCACCCCACCACCCCCACCTGTGCAGCCCAATGGTGGGGAACAGCGGGTGCCCCGTCACGTTGCGAAAGGCGGTGCCCAGGTGCTGTCCATTCTTGCTGCAGGCAGGGGCGCAGGCGCGGCAGCCGCGCGCGGCGCGCAGGGTGGCGTGAGGGCGCGGGGCAGCAGGCGCAGGGGCTCCCCCCGGCTGCTGCTGCCATGGCTGGCCGGGTGGCTGGCTGGCAGGGAGGGCAGGGGAGCAGGCGGGGCGGGGCGCTGCCCCTCACGTGAAGAATATCTCGTGCTTGGATAGGTGGATGCCAGCTCCCACCACATCGCCAGGCCTGCACCGGCCAAGGCCACACGCGAAGCCATGGCTGAGGGCGGTGGCAGGCGAGCGCAGCGGCAGCCGACCCACGACGCACACACAGCACAGCACAGGGCGGCACCAGGCAGGCAGGCAGGGCAAGGCGGCACCACTGTGCCCCATGCGGGCCTACCAGCGGGGAGCACGCTTGTGCAGGCAGCAGCGGCAGCAGCGCACCCAAAGGCGGGCCCGTACTCCTCGCCCCGTACAGGCAGGCTGCTGTGGTGCTTGCGCCCCGTGTCCCCGCGGTAGCCATAGCTGTTTGGTTCGTACCTGCACACACACACACACACAGGGTCCAGCCTGGCTGTGTTGGTGGGCGGGCCGGCTGGCGGAGCCGGCGGCGCGGCGCAAGAGGGAGGACCGCAGCGCTTGCCGGCGGGCAGCCAACCCAGCCCAGGCGGGCGGGCATGTGGCCTGCGCCTGCGCCTGCGCCCCTCACCCCGGGTGCCTCCCCTGCTTGAAGTTGCGGTCTGAGAAGCCGAGGGTGATGGAGCCACCAGACGCCTCCTTCACCGCCACCTCAAAGTAATACACCAGGCAGCGGCGCGGCACAGGGTGGTTTGACTGCGGGACGGGAGAGGAGAGGGAGAGGCCGCAGGGCAGGGGAGGGTGAGGGACGGGTTGCGCGGCTGCGCCGGCGCGGCCCCGCGGGCTGGCTGGCACACGGGCGCGGCGCGCAGGTCGCAGCTGGGCAGGCGCAGGGCTGCACGTGGGCACGCAGGAAGGCGCGGCGGTGGCGGCAGAGGCGGGGCGGCGGCATGAGGCGGCACCCGCCTGGATGGAGCCGACGTCGTTGTCGTGCTGTGCGGGGCCGTTGTAGCGCACCGTCAGCTTGTCCTTGCCCACCTGCGGCGCAAGGGACGGTAGGCAGCGCGCCCTGTTGACCTGCAGGCGACCAAGCGCGGCGCCCCGCCCGCAGCGGCGGGGTGCTGCGCGCGGCCTCGGCTGCACCTGGGCGGCTCGGGTGCTACTGGCAGGCATCCAGGAAGCAAGCGCAGCACCCGCACCTCCATAAAAGTGAGGCTGCCGCTAGAGGTGTTCAGCTCCGAGGGCTGGGGTTCGTGAGCAGCGCGTGGACTGCCCATCGCGCCTGACTGCCTGCCCTCGGTGATCCCTTGTGCCGGAGGGTGTGTGCAGGTTGATCGGGCGGTGGCAGGCAACACCCCACTCCCTTCCCAAGCAGCAAGAGCAGTCACTGAATGCTAGCCAAATTGGCCAAGGGGACAGAAGTGCTGCAGCAGCCAGTCATCCCGCATCCCCGCCCGCCCCGTCACCACTCAGCGCCCACCCAGCTGCCAGCACGACCGCGTATTAGCCTGCCTCGGCACTGGAAGAGACCATGTCCAACCGTTACACCACCATCACGAATAAACACGACCAATTGAATCAATACCTAGCCCAAGCAATCGCAAGAGCAGGCCAACAGCGCTGGGGCAGGCTGCCGCCGAAGTGCCCTTTGGCCGCCGCCAGCAGCTGGATAGGGACCCGCCCTGCCGCCAAATGAGTGGCGGCGAGGGATACGGGGGCACTGGCCAGAGCCGCGGACAACATGGCAGCAGCCTGCGACGGTGGATCCAGGGCTATTGGTAGGGGCAAAGCAAATTGGCGGGACAGCCCCTGTGCAAGAGGGAGGAAGAAAGCCGCGAAGAGAGGCAACGACCAAGCAAACAACTGAGCAAAAGGGAGAGGGGCAGATTTACTGGCGCACGGCAGGGGGCAGCGCTGGAAGGGCAGCACCTGAGACGGGTGTTTCTAAGGGGGCTGAGGGGCCGCTGCTGAGTGGGTGAGGGAAAGGAGTGCGTTCAACGACACTTTGTTGCAAGTGGGTGTTTTGGCTGCTTCTACCGACACAAGAAAGCATGCAAGCGAGGACACAGGAGGGATAGGAGGTGCATAAAGGGAGGTAAATCTGCGAGTTAATAAAGCTCAAGACAGAGGGACTGGTGTTGTGGTGGTCTACAACGGGCAGCGCCCGGCGCAGCCAGGGCCCACCCTCTCCCTGCGCCCGCCGTGCACCAGGCTCCAAGGGCTCACTGGCTGGGTCGAAGTTTACACGCCGTATGCGCCGTAAGCGCCGAAGCCTACGGGCAGCGGGGGAGGGGGGGACAGCGCACACATCAGAACCATCACATGCGGGCTGGCTAGCAATGCGGGATGAGGGCTGGCGTTCCAAGGGGGCAGCCAAAAAGGGCAGGCAGCCCAGAGCAGTGCAGCACAGGGGCAGCCTGAGGCCAGCAAGCCGCCGCCACTCACTTTGGCCGTAGGCACCATAGGCGCTGAGGTGGCGTGCCGCCCAGCTGCTCAGCCGCCGCAGGCCGTATGCGCCGTAGGACTGGGGCAGGGCCGAGCCGTAGGCACCGTAAGACTGCAGCTGACGAGGTGCCGCCCAGAAGGTCAGGCGGCGGCCGTATGCGCCATAGGACTGGGGGAACGCCGAGCCGTATGCGCCGTAAGCAAGGAGGTTGCGGGTGGCGCTGAAGCTGGATAGGCGGCGGCCGTATGCGCCGTAGGACTGTGGGAACGCGGAGCCGTAAGCGCCATAGGCGAGGAGATTGCGGGGGACGAAGCTGGCCAGGCGGCGCAGGCCATAGGCGCCGTAGGACTGGGGGAAGGCGGAGCCGTAAGCGCCATAGGCGAGGAGGTTGCGGCTGGCGGCAAAGCCGGAGAGGCGGCGCAGGCCGTAGGCGCCATAGGACTGAGGGAAGGCCGAGCCGTAAGCGCCATAGGCCAGGAGGTTGCGGGACTCGAAGCTGGCCAGGCGGCGGCCGTAGGCACCATAGGACTGGGGGAAGGCGGAGCCGTAGGCGCCATACGCGAAGAGCTGGCGGGAGAAGCCGGCAAGGCGGCGGCCGTAGGCGCCGTAGGACTGGGGCAGGGCAGAGCCATAGGCACCATACGCCTGGAGCCCACGCATGTTGCCTGCAGGCGGAGGTGGGCATGGGCAGAGGAGCAGGTCAGGGCTCAGGGGAGACAGACAGCTGGGGCGGCGGCGGGGTGCGACAATCCCATCCTGGTCAGGCGGCTCTCTCACCCAGGCTCGCCAGGCGGCGTCCGTAGGCACCGTAAGACTGAGGAATAGCCGATCCATAGGCGCCGTAGGCTGCAGCAACAGGGCTCAGCTGTTGGTCGCTGCTGCACGCGGGGTCGGCCAGCAACCCTGGGCCGCGCCAGCCACGCTTGCTGCCACAGCAAGCTGGAAAGGTCGGCAACCAGGGTGGCGAGCTGGGCAGCGCAGCCGCGCGGCCCAGCTGTTGGGTCTGTGACTCACCGCTCAGGCTGCGGCCGGTCTGCGCAAAGCTCCTGCCAGCAGACTGCTCCGCCCGGAACTCCTCCCTGCTGCCGAACAGACGGGCTGCAGAAGCAACCTGGGCGCAGCAAGCGAGTGCCAGGAGCACTGACGCTGCTGTCTTCATTCTGCAAGCAGCGGCAGGCGGCGGACAGGTGGGGGTTAAGCAGCTGTTTTGGGCGGCGCCGCCGCTGCCAATCGCCCAAATAGACATGGAGAAGCGATGTACGCTGCCAGGGAGGCTGCGGGGGGCCTGGCAGCACCCCTCCATGACTGGCAGTTGGCTGGTGGTCACACTTGCGGCGGCCCCCACCGCCCGGCTCGCCCCGCCCTCGCCGCAGAATTAGCAGCTACATGCAGTGCTAGGCCGCAGGCAGCGGCGCGGCGGACTACACCTGGCTGTCTGTCCTAAGATGGCGACCAACCACCGGTGGGAGAGTGTGTTCTGCTGGACTGTGACTGGCTGCACACGTGCGTCCTGGCACGGCAACCAACTGGGAGTCGGAAGAAGCAGTGGGGAGGCGGGGGAGGGGCGGGGTGATATGCGGAGGCGCTGACAGCCGCAGCACACAGCAGGACAGCTCGCGGGCTTTCATACTGCAGATCCTCATTTGCGCCCGGTTTCAATCGCCTTTCTCACGATCCCCGCTACCGATCCTCCCAACCCTGACTTTCAGCAATTGGGTCGGCGCCCAACACCTCTCCTCCTGACGCCCTCCTCCTTGAATCGTTGGCACCTCCCCGCTCTGCAGCTGGTCCAGGAACCGCCAACCAGCGATCTCACCCCAGGGATGGTGTTGGGGTTGCAGGCTGGGGAGCATGGCTCCGCCTGAATGGCGGGCGGCGGCACCTTGCGGGGCGACATCCCCCCCAAGCACACCTCTTCTGGGATGGCCCTTGCGCTAGCCCATCCTCGGGAATCTGGTGTGCATCACCTTAGAAGCTGGCACTGCTTTGAGGATGCATAGGGCACTGCCAGAGGCATAGGGCACTGCCAGCCGCTCAGCAGCCGCCCACGCACCGCAGGCTGCGCTTGCGACACCGCCCTGGCACCTCACGGACCTGCAACCCTGCCTGCCTTGCCTGTCGGCTGCTCGTTTTACACATCACAATCAAAACAAGAGCAGCAGGCAAGCCAACACTAGCGGGCGGCGGGTGGGGCGGCCCACGCCGCTGGTGGGATGCGACAGCCCACGAGCGGCTACACAAATACACACAAGAAGAAGACACTCTCGATGAGTGAAGATATGTCGCTGGAAGCGGGAGAAAAAGCAGACTAGATGCGGGGAAAAAGGAGTGCTCAACTGCAAAGGAGGGCCCACAGTCTCAGCTGATGAGGAAAGGAGGGGAAGAAATAGCAGGGAGGCACAAGAGGGAGAGGCAGGGTACAGAAGGGCGCCCCTCGCGGCGGGCGCAGTTGTTATTGCACAGTCTGCAGTGCGTATGCTAGCCAGGTGCGCCCGGCGCGGGTCGGGAGGGCGCGGGGTGGTACAGCGGGCGGTACGGTCGGTGTGCCAGGCAGGTGCGCATCGCGTTCTGCTCTGCCCGCCAGCCACGCGGCGCCGCATGCCGCGGCATGTGCTAGCGGGATGGGGAGGGTTGGACAGGAAGGAGAGGTCAAACGGGGCGGTGCTGGTTGCTGTGCAGTGCGAGGGGGAGGGCGGGAGGGGACAGGAGTGGTCTTGAGAGGGGTGGGGCCAGGTGTGCGGTGAGGGCGGGTGGGTGCTCTACAAAACGTGGACAGGGAAAGGGGGCGCTCGCGGCTCCAGTCCCCTCGATTCGGTTTCTCTTGAGTGGCAGCTGGAGAGGCTGGGTCAGCCCTCGAGTATCGTGTCCATGGGACCGCCGCTGCCGGCCGCCTGCTGCAGGGAGCCGCTGCTGAAGCCCATGGGCGAGTCCTCCAGCTGGGCGGCGCCGGCCTTGCTGGGGCCCGCCTTGCCGCCGCCGCCGCCGCCGCCGCCGCCGCCCATCACGTTGACCGCTCCAAAGGTGACGCTGCGCGGCACCGGGATGGGCGCTGAGGCTGAGCTAGCCGAAGCGCACTTGTCGTCCCCCGGTGCCGCGCCCCCGTTTTTTGGCACGCCCTCGCCGCTGCCGGCCGGCGCTGGCGCCAGCGCCGCCGCCGCCGCCGAGCCGGCAAAGGGGCTGGGAGGCGCGCCGCGCTGCCGCCGGCCGCCGCTGACGTCGACCGCCGCCGCCGCGTCGGCCAGCGGCCGCGGCGCGCCGGCGGCGGAGCCGGCGCTGTCGCTGAGTATGCGCAGGGCGTCGGCGCCGCTGCGAATGGAGGGGTCTGGCCGGAAGCTGGGCAGGCGCTCGTCGGGGCCCAGGGCGGCACCGCCGTTGCCGTGGGCAGCTGCCGCGTAGTACGCCCCTCCAGCCCGCACGCTGGCGTCAGATCGCAAGCCCGCCCGCATGCTGGCGTCGGTGTAGCGGCTGCCTGCCCGCACGCTGGCGTCGGCGTAGCGGTAGCCGCCGGCGCGCACGCTGCCCTCGCTGCCCGCCCGCGCGCTGTGCAGGCTGCTGCCGGGGCTGTCCGAGCCGATGGAGCCGGGCTCGAAGCCCCTGCGGCAGCGCGGGCAGGCGGAGGCGGGCGGTGAGGTGGCGACGGCAGCGAGGCGAGCGCGAAACTCGCTGCTGCTGCCGCTCAGGTGCAGCCCGGCCCCGGCGCCACCCCAGAGGCGCAGCCTCCGGCAGTACACTCAGCAAAGTAACTCTCAGTATACCACTAGCACAGTACACCCTCAGTACAGCAATACAGCAGCTTACACCACACTCACTGGTAGTGCCCAAACTTGTCCGCATAGTCCCCCCCCTCTGCCACCGCCTGGTGGAAGAAGACAGAGGCGTGGCGCGTCAGGCCGCCGCCGCCCCAAGACCCCTCGCTCTCCAGACCCTCCGACCCGCCTGCAGCGGCCAGGCAGGCGCAGGGCAGGCGCGCAGGACCGGTGGGCGGCGCGGCGCTGAGCGCTTACTGCTGACCGCAGCGCCAGCCACGCCGCCAGCTAGCGGCACGCTTGGCCGGCCAGCCGGCAGCCACAGCAGCGGCACAGGCGGCCGCGGCTGCCTCCCGCGGCCCGCCACAAGCCCATCGTGGATCCACGCCAGGCGCAGGCAGGCGGGCAGGCAGGCAGGCGGGCAGGCTGGCGGGGCCCCTCACCGCCCTGCTGGGACATGCGCGCCACCCGCGCCACCCGTACGGTGGCCTCCAGCTGCGGCGTGGAGGGGCGGCGCCCCGTGCGCCGCTCATTGGCCTCCCTCCAGCACTCCATCGCCTCCGCCTGCACGCGTGGCGGCAGGAAGGGCGCCAAGTCAGCAGCGCACGTCAGCGACGACGCACGCGTGCCAGCAGGCACGGGGCAGGGCTGCCTGCCGGCCTGCCTGGCTGGCGGGCGGTAGGCGGGGCGCACAGGCATAGGCAGCGCTGCCCGCGCACCGCCGCTCCAGCCGGCCTGCACGCTCGCTGCGGCCGCGCCCGGGCTGCCAGCCTCCCCAAGCACGCCAGGCGCGGGCCGGGGGCGGCAGCGGCGGCAGCAGCAACTCACCGCCAGCGCAAACAGCTGCTCGCCCACGTACTCGTCGTACCAGCCAGGCGGCGGCGGCGTCTCCTCAGGCATCAGCCCCATCACCGCCGCCACATCCACATCCGCAACCACCTCCAGCTTGAGGGGGTTGGCGGCGGCCGGCGTCAGCGGCGGCGGGGACGGA